TAGGGCCAGGAGCCCCCTAGTAGCGTCCTTGCTCCTAGTAGCGATGCTCTTTGTTCCTCGTAGCTTCTTGTTCCTAGTAGTAGGGCCAGGAGCTCCGTAGTAGCGTCCTTGCCAGGAGCCCCCTAGTAGCGTCCTTGCTCCTAGTAGCAATGCCCTTTGTTACTAGAAGCTTCTTGTTCCTAGTAGTCACCTAATATATTTCTAATATTGTCAAGCTTTGGTCGCTAATCACTAAACCGCTGCATTCCTTGTCCAAGTTCATTCCTGGTATTGTGCCCACTCCGACGGATTGCTCCTGCCATTCAAGTGCATGTGGATACGAAACACGTTTCTTGTTGCAGTTTGTGCACACAAGGTCAAGTTCGATGATGGCATAATATGTTTTTGTTGGTGCAATTTTGATTGCGATTGAGCACCGTTAGCAACTCGTCCTGCTCTCCAAGCCACTGCACCAGCAAGCTTTGGTTCCCTGGATCTGCATCTAAGACCTTTCAAGTGACACATGACAAATTTCGAAAAAGCCTTAAGTAGCGTCCTTGCTCCTAGTAGTAAGGCCAGGAGCCCCTAATGGCTAGCGATGCCTTTGCTCCTAGTAGCGTACCTCTAAGACCTTTCTAAAAGTGTATTAAAAGTTAAAAACCATTTCAAGCTCTGCGTGAAATATGGGCGACACTGTACTTCGTCGTCCCCGTCACCCCCACCTGCCCCCGAAGCATCCGCAAAGAGGCGCTGTCAGCCTGAGCCTTGTTGGGCACTGATGTGCCGACGTTCACAACACCAATTCTGCCAACCAAATGCCGCAAACTCCACCAGGAAAAAGGAACAAGGACTGTTCTTATCGAACACCAGCCTGAATCACAGCAAACTCGTGAAGTTCTTGCTCTGTGGCGGCGGCGTCAGGCAAGGAAGGCGGGTTTTCCAAAGTTCGCTTCACCCAAAGCTTCACATCGACAACGTCACCAACTTGGCACCTACAAGGAAGATCTGGCCAGGTGTTTGGTTGACGACACTTGGAATCTTTTTTGACCACGGCACGTCTGCGATCTTTGGAAGTCTTCACCGCAGCGGAAAATGACGTGCGCTGAAATAGGCTCAGAGAGTTGAACGTACTCATCGCCGACCTGGCCATGCGTGACCAACAAACGAGTGGGTTGCTAGTGAAACAAACAGAAATAGGGCAGCAAGGCGCACGGCACATCAAAGCAAACTAAAGGCCAAACTGGGGCAGTCTGTGGCAAGTCCAGCTCACCAGCGGCAGGCCGCGTTTGCACACGCATGTGTGCCAGACTAAACGCAACCATGTGACACACTGTGACACACCATCATCCCGCTCATTACACTCACACGCGTATTTGCCATTCCCCAATGGCACGGAGCCAAGCAAGCGTGCTTTCCACCGCACGTACTGAGCCTACAAGGATCACTTTTGGTCTTGGCCCCGAAAATGAGCAGTATGAGGTGAGAACAATGGACATGTACAAACTGCACATGAAACAGCATAGTAGCCATCTACTAGCTACTTGTTAGCTCACCCTACAACGGCCTCGCCACATGGGTTGAACGCTGTCTGCGCACACAGGGTAGGAAAGGAAAGTAATGCACAAAAAGCGCCGTCATGCTTTATTAATTGTCTTTTTATTGGTCTCTTGTCACTTCATGGTTCTTACCAATTTAATCTACATATAAAGCATTTTGTAGAACCCACAAGCACAGAATAAAGAAAAAAGGGTAGTTTTTATTGTAGCTTTTTATCTTGCTCTGTTTATCCTCATTCACCTTTATGTGTTTACCCTTCAGGATCACTTCTATCTTATACCAAATCATTCTTGATGTCTTATTAACAATAATTTGCAAACCTTGGCTTATTTATGACCTACAAACCAATAATTTATTAATTGGAATTCTTATGGCCATTACCATCAATCATCTATAAATTTATTGTTGAGGTGAGCAGTTAGAAAAACCAATGCAACACCCTTAAAGGCTGTTTAAGACTTCTTCCGTGCCAACACACAGGTGGCCTTAGACATCAATGCAGGCCCGCCCAGGTGCCGCAAAAGCTCCTGGTTGAAAAAAAACAAGGCAAAATTTCTTGTTCCTAGTAGAATTCTTGCTCCTAGTAGCGATGCCAGGAGCCCCTACTTGGTATGCGAGGCAAAAGGAGCTCCTCAGCCTCGGCAAAAGTGTCTCGAACTTGTCGCTTTGGGGTCACTAGCGGTGCGCGTCCGCTCCCTATGTCCACTTCTGTTTTAATTGACATGGAAACATCATGAACCAGTGCGGTTGCGGTGTGAGGGGCAAGCAACCAGCCCCTGCAGGAAAAATGACAAATGCCAGCAGAAATGACCATTTAAACACTTTGCGGCGCTTCTCGTACTGTGCTTGCCGAGCTGCACCTTCCATAGAGATCGACACGTCGGGGCGATGGTCATTGTAAACAACCACTGCAACGGCACCTGCATCCTCCGCGTTGGTCGCCTTGACCTGAAAGAAGCCTCGGAAGACATGTTGCTGTGCGGGGAACCTGCCCAAACAGGGAACAAAGCCAACCTAATAGCCATGGCCTCCAACCTATTAGCTTCTAGCTACTAGTAGCTTCTAGTAGTAATGGCCTCCAACCTAGAAGCAATGGCCTCCACCTAGTAGCGTCCTTGGTCGCAAAGATGTTAGTTGCAGTTTCCGGGTGGGAAGCCACTCGTTTGGCAAGATCACAAGCTTTCTATACTTGTTGTCGGCGTTGTTGGTATGGTGGCGCCGCCCCAAACGGTAATAGGGTCACTGTCTTTGTTTGATCACAGTCTTGGATTGCTTGCTTTGTTGTTGGTTTACGCTAAGTTAGAAACGAATCAGGACCACCAATTATCACACGGAAATTGCTGCTTTGCGCAACACAAATTCCAGGTTGGAGCCCATCGCTCTTGGTCTTGGGTTGGAAGGCCATCGCTCTTGGGTTGGAGGCGTTGGCAATCGCTATAAGGTTGGGAAAATGCAGCAAGTAAAAATAGCATGCTGGACTTCTGCCCAGCCTGAAAATTGGTGTCATCCGGTGGTGTTGGAGGAAGTCCAACAAGAATTGCGTTTTAATTGGTTCTGATGACTTCTTCGTGCACCAACCACCGTGCTTTGCTCTTCCTTCTTCCCACTGCACTTATCGCAAAACACAGGCAGGTTGTAAAGCATCTTCTCGACAACCCATTGAATCGTTGGACATTTCCGTCTTTTGTGTTCTGAACGCGGCAAGCAGTGGGCGGGCACTCCAAAAGACCTAAGTGTGCTATGCGTTACTGACAATATTGTCGTTTTACGATCGCTTCTGTAAAAGCGCAGCCATGCTAATAAGCACGCACGCTTGACCCTACTTCTGCGTTCGCCAAGAGGCAGCGGCCACGCTTCACCAGGAGCACTGCCCCATCGAAGCGCTCCACAAAGGGATCACAAGCGTCTGGGTTGTTGGTGGCCGTGGCCAAATGCCCTGACGCGGAATCCACGTGTACTGGGTTGAAGCTGCCACCAATACCAGTGACCTGCATGGATCCTGGGCCAGAAATTTGGAGCAGCCAGTTGTTGGCCTCAAGAAGGGCAATGTTGCCGTGAAGAGTTATTTTTTGACGGGAACATGGCCGCTTGAGGCTTTCAATGCAACCATGGAAATTTAGGTTTTGTAAGCTTAAACAACATTGGAAGCTAGCAACGGAAGTAAATCTATTTCCCTATCTTTCCTCTCCATCATAAGCCTGAATCAAGAGTCCTCAATGAAATTCTAATGCAATGCTCACCGTCCACTGGACATAAAAAGTTTGCCAAACGAAAGGTCTTAAACTTGTTCTGCATCATTGTGGGGTTTTGTTGTCTGCACTCCGCGTCCTCCGTCCTTCATCTCACACTCAAGCTTTATATACCGAACACCTCACACTTCATCTTGCGGCAGTGCCAAAGCTCCTTCGTTGAACACCCGAGTCACTTTCTCAGTATGAAAAAACGGTGCTTCAGACAGGAAGCTCTCCGATTTCCCCATCATTCTGTGCTCTTGTTTTGCACCTCGTCCTCCTCCTCCTCCTCTTCCTCCTCCAAGTCCTCCTCATCTCCTTCTACACCAGTCATTGCATCACAACATTTGTTCACTTCATCACAAAGATCATTTTCACACCACATTTATCACAACATACTTCATCACGTATCGTCATATTATCACCACACACTAGAATAGACGAGCAGACTTCATTCCACTTTATCACAAAACATCGTCACTGCATGCCTCATTTCTTTGACCGCAAACCTATCATGACACACTGACAGTCACTGTGCCCAAGAAATGTCAGGACACTTTAGGATGGCTTTGGGTTGGAGGGCATCGCTGGTAGGTTGGAGGGCAGAGCGGCCTTAGAAAAAGCTATTTCTTTGTCCGACTTTGTCCTGGCTCTTTTCTCTATTCCTGCCGTGAAAATTCATGGCTGAGGCTTTGCCAAAACCTGAGCAGTTTAGTTGGTACCCTTGTAGGCCTGGAACAGACCGTAAACAATTGACGTGGAAGGGCGTTCATGACTTTTGTAGGTTCCAAAAACTGAGAATCTTGTGCAGGTTGGCTACATGAAAAGAACATCTGGAAAGTAAAGGGAATCCAAATCAATCAAAAGTCATCAACCCGCATGATTTCGCTGTAGGGGAATCAAACACCAATGGGCACGAACCCCGTGCAAGTTTGGAGTGGACGTAACGTTTGACAATTAAGCCGGAAGCTATTAGTAACAAGTGCATCGCTTCTAGTAACAAGCGCCTTACTAGTAGTAACAAGAAACTATTAGTAACATACCATCCACTGAGACTATGGCAGCAGTTTCTCCATACTTTTCCACGATGCATCGCCACCAAGCGTTCAGGTGTTCATTATTGGCAGTTTGATAGCCATGAGCGTGGGTGGCTCTATCGAATCAATTGCTTTGGAAAATGGATGCGTTCTCGTTTAGGTTGGAGGCCATCGCTATTAGCTTCCTTGAAGAAGCGTGAGCTATCCTGCGTCCATGCTAGTGGCGTCTCAGTAAGGTACTGGCTTACTAGTTCCTTACTTGATTAAGTAGGCGGTAGGAAACACACGGCCCAAAAGAAAGGAATTGAAGAGTTTGCCCAGGTGGCTAGTAGGAACAAAAAGCCACTAGTAACAAAGGGCATCGCTACTAGGAGCAAGGATGCTACTCGTAGCTCCTGGCCTTGCTAGTAACAAAAAGCTAGTAGTAACAAGTGCATCGCTTCTAGTAACAAGTGCCTTACTAGTAGAAACAAAAAGCTAGTAGTAACAAGTGC